ATAAATTTGATGAGTTATCCAACATAATAGTAACCCTTTTTTGTCATGCCTTTTCTTTTTCAAACTCTTACTTTATTTATTCCAAAAAAATAAAATTTGAAAATGTCTACAGTAAATTATAAGATAACAAAAATGAAAATTTCATATTGATAACTAGTTATCAAATGTTTAAATTTCTTAGGAGTGCCAATAATTGGGATGATGTAAAGCCAACGACAAGTGCATAAGGAAAATGAATCCTAAGCCAAAGGGAATGGCATAGCTAGCTTGGTGTGCAATTAATGGGGAGGTACTAACCCCACTTACCCACCGCCACTCACCCACCCAACCTCGTTTGGGTCCATTGGTGGGGGTATATGGTTTTGTTTGTTACCATAAAGTCAAAAATGCATTTCTTAGTTTTTACATGTTTGATTTTTATTGGTTTTGTTTAGCTATAATTATGGGGCTCTAGCCACAAGGCAGCAGCTCCTTCACCCCAGACAAAATTGTGCTCCAGAGAGAGCTGTGTTTGGTAACAAAGAAAATAATGTGTGCCTGAAATGAAACTTTTGTAGCCTCTTAACCAATGTTTGGATTGAGGAAAAAGAAAGGAAAGAATCATTTCTCTTGTTTAAAGCAAAAGGGTGATTAATTAAAATCCCAAAAACCTGGAAACAGGATGAGTCATGCTTGATTAAGGAAAAGAAAAACTGTAATGTATTGAAACTAGAACCAGAAGATGAGTTCATGAATTAACCAGCCTTTGGATAGTCTCTTTTGCTATTGTCTCTTTTATAATAAGTTTGGGTTGAAAAGAATGAAGGGAGGGGAATTTTATCCCTCCATTCCCCTCCCTTACCTTCCCTTATTTAAATAAGTTAATAAATTAAAAAAAAATAAAGTAAATGAAATTTTTTTCCTTATTTCCCCTTCATTTCTTTTAATAATTAAATCGAGAAAAATTTTACCCTCCCTCCCCTCAACCCAAATATATTATTAATGAACTCTAAAATGGCCCCAGATGGCTTCTCCAATTCTGTTTGAGAGGGAGTGGTTACCATACTCAATTTCAACCTTCTCTACACCACCCAATGCTCTGCATAATCGGCATGAATTTACATGCCACAAGATCAGTCTATCTCTCTTCCACCCCATCCACATAGAAGACCGCATGAAAGGGTTGCCTTCTATTGTTTTAAACATGACCATCATCATGGTCTGCAAATGGATTAAATGTCTTACCTTGCAACCAATGGCTTTCTTGTCCACATGCTTTAGCACATGCACATCTGCCAGTGAAAAGATAACCTGCATTAAACACATGATACTACCAAGTTGAAGCTATTGAATAGGCACCAAGCTAAGACCCTTGTTATACGCAAATCTTGAAACCGTGTTGCACACTTGCATCATGATTTGTAAACCGCCAGAGGTAGAACTTAGAAGTGACATGGTTAAGGAGGGTGCCAGGTAAAATAATCTCTATGATCAATTAGAGCAACGCAAACAAGGCACACTGTCCCTGGCAGGGGGTGGTGGACATATGTCCAAGTCTCTGTTTAAGCTGATCATCACTAAGGTCAGAACTAAACATATCATCATCACCCATGTAGGCACAAAGGGAGTGAAATTTGCAAAAATGCATCTTCAGTGAGCAATGGAGATTTAGACAGAAATCATAAAATAAACAAATTCACATAACCAAAAGGAAAAAGTCTGCATTGCGGTAACCAAAGTACAATCAGAGAACAAAGGAAATTATTGGGGAAAATAAATCACAAGAAAGACTAATGCAACATGGATATGTTCTGATATCCAATACTTAGAAAAGAAAAAAAAAAAAAATCTTTGCACATATGATTATATCATAGTCTCCAACTCTCCATATTGTATGTTTCTGGAAGAATACAGATATTATTGACAGAAAAAACCTATCAACAGTTAAAAAGATAAAAAAAAAATACATTGGATTGTGAAGCAAAGAAGAATTGGAGCACTTGTTAACAAACCAAGAAGAATAGGCTAAGGTAGGAAGCACACCCACCTATAGGCAGTTATATAGCAGCCGATGGATCTGCTTCCTTTGGCATTAATTCTGAACCTCGGCCTTCTCTTCTCATGGTTGAAGCCAAATCAATCATAGCAGCTGTTTCAGAAAGAGTCATTCTATGTTCCCGATCACTAACTGAAGCCTAAAAATTCAAACTGGCATTTTATAAGCAAAGCTCCAAGTGAATGACAAACACATAGGCAACAGCAAAACATGTGAAACATTGTATTACGAAAGAACAAGATTATTCATAATATTCAAAACTCAAGTTGTCAATCATATTAATTAGAAGCAAAAAAGTTTATGCAAGCCTATTCGCTAATCTGATTGAAATGTTTACATAATTTGGTACAGAACTAGATTAATAGTAAATTTAAGAATTAAGCAATTTAAACATACCATAAATGCACTATTATAAAGAAAAGGAGGTCAACATTAATTCGCTTACTTTTTCTTTATTTTTGTTACATTGATTATTCTCTTGAATTTGACATAATGAATATTACCAGCAAAATGGCAGCGCAAACTGCTCAGGAACATGCAGAATTTGTAGGCATGTAATGCACAGTATCCTAGACACAGGGGCAAAGAAGACAATGCCAAAAAGATCCAAATGATCTTCAGATACTGAACAAGCTAAAACAAAGAAATCAACTCTTACCTGGCAACCAGTACCATGACCAGGTAAAATCGCATCCTCAGAATTTTCTTTGTTGATTAGGTAACTGATCAGTTGATCAAGCTCCAGGGCATTCTTCATGATATATGGTGCAAGAACATCTTAAAGTTAGAGCATAAAAATGATGCACTTAGATTATAACATCAGGAAATGGATTAAAACCAGAACATCTTAAATTCAAGCAAAAGTTCCAGGCAAAGAAGAAAACTGCCAAAATTTAGGATAGAATGATGAAAATATTAGAAG